GTCTGTGATTCAGTTTTCTCATGTTTAATAGAGATAATATTGGTAGCTATCTCACAGGATTGCTTTAATACATGTCAAGCATTTGAAATGGGAAGGCAATGAGGAAGTCTAAACAAGACTGACATGAACTCACAAAGAAGAACAAGGCACAGCCCCAGACCTGACGGAGGTAACATTCTTGTGGGAAACATACAATGCAGAAGTACTAGGATTAAGATAAGCACAGCATAGCCCAGGGTAGCCCAGGATTAAGATAAGCACAGCGTAACCCAGGATCATGAAGGAGAAGCAAGCAGTCCATCCTAAGGAATCTAATATAATCTCCAGAAGTTAGCCCTCTTAGATAAAATAAGCTGTGAAAAGTCTACTTTTATCTAATACAGTAGATGAATCTCTAGAGCAGTTTTATGTTTAGAGAAAATATGAATCAAAATACAGAATTCCCATATATCCCATCATTATACCCCCTACATAGTTTTCTATTATTAACCTCTTCCTTTAGTGTGAAATATCATTATAACTGATGAGGTAATATTGATATACTATCACTAACCAAAGTCCATTGTTAACCTTAAGGTTTATCTTTGTCTTGTACATTCTATAGATTTTAGCAAATACATGATGCCACATAACCATCATGACATTATCATATTGAACACTTACTCAGAGGGAAAATTTATCTCTAGGTTCCTGGAACATCTGATGAGCTTCCTGTACTTACTGTACCTGGTGTTATCCATGGTGTTGACAAATGTCCCAGTACTCACAGCTGTCTATCATTCCCTCAAATACTATAGATAACCTGTGTGATCACAATCAGTCCAGGCTACTTACCACTCCCAAACTGCCTTGCCCACTTCTATTTTCTACACAGGAATTCCCCCTAAAAGGCAGCGGTTTTTTTTATTTTGTTTTTTGTTTGTCCTACATGGGCAAGTTGTCATACCTACTAGAAGACCTCAGAGAAGTAGGTGACCCATAGATCAGTGAGAGGTTCAAGAAGGTTTAATATAGGTAAAAAGAAGTGCACACTCAGAGAGGAATGCAGGAGGGAGAGAAGGAGAGAGACAGAGACAGACAGAGAAAGACAGAGAGAGAGATCTAGACAAAGACAGAGACACATATGGTCTGGAACTAGCAACATTTGTGTGTTTTGGGAGATGGTAATCTGTGGAATTTGTGAATCTATAGAAAGTATGGGGCTCAATTTATGGGTGAAAAGTGATGTTTATTTACCAATGAAAGTTTCATTTTACAGGACAAAGATGATGATTCATTTATAAGTGAAAGGCATAAAGCACAGGCCTACTATGTTGTGTGTTTTAGAGACAAAAAATTTGAGTGAGTGGTCTATAAAGGAAAAATAAATAATTGTAATCCTGAGTAGTTTTGTGCCCTGAAGGTGCAGTTTTAAAAAATAGAATTTTTAAATTATGCTTTTTTTCAGTATTATGGATTAAAGCTAGGGCCTTTGCACTGATCTACATTCTCAACCATTTAGCTACAACAACAACAACAACAAATTGTTTTATTTGAGACAGTTTTGGCAAGTCACTAAGTTGTCCAGGCTGGACTCAAAATTGCAGTCCTCCTGCCTCAGCCAAGAGTGCTTACAAGTGTGTGCCACCACATACAGCTATGGTTTTTCTTGTTTTTTTTTCTACTTACCTCTATTTCTTTTATCCTGCCTTAATAGAACACATTAGGCATATGAAGCTGAGCGGCAATCATGTTAGTGATTATGTGAAAAGCTATGAACATCAACTTTCCATGGTGAAAGAGGACTAATTAATCATAAAAACTTTTATTTTGCCCTCAAGGGAAACTAAATGCAAACTAGCACTTACTGTGTGAGGCCCAGGCACCAGTTCCTTTCTTATCAGGAAATTGAATGGAAGGCCTCCATTGGCCTAGCTAGACTTACAGGCCTGGTTGCAGCAGGCCTCTGGGGGAAGAGGGTGGGGCCAAGGTTGTTTATCATTTTGTGCTGGGGAAGGCAGTGGAACTATCACCCACAGCCCTAACCAGCGGAAACTGACTGTTCCCCAGCGTCTTTGTGGGGCTTCCTGCCTGTGCATCTGATGGAACAGTTTGCAAGGAAGGGGAGCCCCTACCTCAGGGTTGACAGAGACAGAGGAAGGTAGATGCGAGGGCCTGGGAACTACTAGCCAACAGCTTCTCAGGCCAGCTTTAAGCTGCACACTGCTGTGGGAAGAAAGAGCACCAGCTTTGTGTCAAGAATAACTGTGCTTGGGCCAGGGATTTAGCTCAGCAGCACAGTGCCTGCCTGGCAAGCGTGAGGTCCTGAGTTCAATTCCCAGTGCTCCCACCCAAAAAGGAATAGTTGTGCTTAGTCCTGGTCTGCCATTTTGAAAGTTACTCAGGAGACTCCTTCCGTGTAAAATGGGGAGAGAGTATGATGTTCACTGGCTGTAATACCCAAGCTCCTGCAGCCGTCTTAAACTTTTTTCCTTTTCTGTTCAGTTCCCAGGATCCCTTTATACCTCTTTTCTTGCACGGCCAGCCAAAACTTAAAATTCTGTCCATTCTATGCAGAGCAATTTAGTTTTTGTTTCATTTTTTTACTTCTAGATCTGATCCCATGTTGTAAGTTTTCAGAATTAAGTCACCATGCACATGTTTTCCAAGGAGAAGAAAGAGGAGGGGGAGACAGAGGGAGAGGGGGAGGAGGAGAAGATGAGAGAAAGAGGAGCCAGATGTGGTGGTGCACCCCTGAGGCAGCGCATGCCTGTAATTCCCACACTTGGGAGGCTGTGGCAGAAGGATCACCATGCGGTGGAGGCCAGCCTGGGCTACACAATGAGATTCTCAAAAAAAAAAGAAAAGAAAAACTCTCCCAGAAGAATTCCTAAACATACATGATTTTAAATTTAATCTTTTTTCTTTATTACCTGCTCACTCCCTAATTCCCCAGATAAACAAGCTGGCCCTCCATCTTGTGCACCTACTCCGTGGGGCCACAGAGCACTGCTGTCTTCACAAGCTACGGTTCTATAATCTGAGGTAGAGATCCTTCCATGTCCCTGCTATACCTTTCAATTGCATTATTTATAAAATCTTTCATAATGATGATCCTATTGTGCCAACATCCTAACAAAACATTTTTATTATATAAGCATTTGTCAAGAAGATGATATTTTGTAGCAAAATTGCAGAAGAGCTATAATTGTAGAAATTGCCCATTATCAACCCAACATCCCTCCCATCTTTCACTACCTCTTCTCTGCTAACAATACCCCTGTTTGTGAGGAACCAGTACAAATTCTTTGATTTTAAGGAAGGGAGAATTCTAATTCACCTCAACGAGACTGTCAAAGAACACAATTGTGACAGAGATCATAATTGGATTTATTTTCAATTTTAGAATCAAGCAACACTCCGTGCCATGAAACAGAATGAGTCTCCCAATAGGAGGACCAAAAGGGGTTGATTTTAGAGACAGAGAAAGGATGAACAAAGAGAAACAAAGAACAGAAAGTGAATTGGTCATTTCAAAGTTACTTTCTTAGCCAGGCCTGGTGGTGCACAGCACTATAATCTCAGCAGTGGGAAGGATGAGGCAGGAGGATTGCCATGAATTTGAGGCCAGCCTGGTCTCCATAGTGAGTTTAAATCAAGCCTGGACTACATAGTGAGACCCTGCTTCAGGAAAAAAAAAATTATAAGAGGTAGGGACATGAGGCAGGAGATTAGGGTGTGGCAAACCAGCTGAGCAGGTGAGGTGACCTGTCAATCAGGAAGATTCAGGAAATGCGCAGAAAAAGGCCTCCCAGAGCCCTGCACTTGGGACTAAACTGAAGAACATGCTATCTTCAGGTCTTCTCATGAGTACTCAGTCAGGTTTTTGATAGAATGGCCTAGACCAGTGATGGCAAACCTTCTAGAGACCAAAAGCCCACACTGCAATCCAAAACCCCCTTACTTATCAAAAAGTGCCGCCACTGCAATTAAACGTGAAAATCCAGTGTTCAGCTTCAGGGGCGATGCTGGGGCTACCCGGGCGATGCTATGTGCTTTCACAGAGGGCTCTGCCTTGCACTGCAGCACACATGCTGTAAGTTTGCCATCAACTGGCTTAGACCTAAGGGTAGCCTGAGGCTTGGGGGATATAAAAGACAGCACCTATATTCCTTGTGACCCATGTGTCCTCTCTTTCTCTCACAGTGGTCCACTCTTACCCTGCAGACTATACAGCTCTTCCTACTTTTAATTGGCCCACAGTTGCTCTGCAGAGTATGTTTCTTTTCCTACCTTTAATAAATGTAAAGCCTCACTACTCTGTGTTTGTTTCGTCCAGTTCTTTGTTCAGGACAAGAAGAACCTAGAAAGAGACTCTAGAAGGAGTCTCCAGGACCCCAGAACCAGATAACAGACAACAATACACAATAACTAGTTAACTTCAGGGTACTTCAGGTTACATTTTTGTGTAAGGATTGAAGCAGAGGAAACTTCATTATGGCACAAACTGAAACGGGAATATCAGCTATTATCTTTTTCTCTGCTGATTTCTCAGAAGTGTAGATTAAAACTTGATTTTTGACCTTTAGTCTGAGTGATTCTTTTAGTGTGTTCTGTTGGGGTTTTAGTGCAGGAGCTTAATCCAAAACAATGTCCTCCTGTAATTGTCAACAAGGAAATTTCACAAGGTAATTTCATTCTCCTAAGGTTAACCACATAATCCAGGAGAATCTGCTGGGCAGTCTACAATCCTAACACACTGAGCACACCTAGTCTCAGAAGCTAAGCAGAGTTGGGCCGGATTAGTTAGATGAATGGGAGAAATGACAGGGAGTGTTGGATGAGGCATCTAGGAAAACAAAATTTTTTTTCTGGGTAAAAGGAACAAATTTAGCTGGCTAGGCCCCTTTTGTCCTTCTGCCATTTCTTTGTCTTGGAATATTGATATTATACCTGTTGACGGTACAGCAGCAATCTTACAACCATGAGTCACAGCAGTCTGTTAATGTACTTTTTCACAGAAATATAGCAAGAGCCTGGGATACTGACAGCGACATTGAATCACTGACTGTGGAACCTACTCTATTAAGCCCACCCAAGGTATGTGAGACAGATAAGCCCCCACTTATTTATGTTATTGTAGTTAAGTTTCTATTCTATACACTGTACCTGAGTGCAGTTTTTTTTTTTTTTTTTTTTTTTTTTTTTTT